AACATACTAAGTCCTTAATAAATTCTTGATTGACAGATTAGTCATATTTTTGTTTGTTTTTGTTCTTACTAGGTCTGTAATTTTATGAGTGTAAAATATTCCTGGTAAGGAACTTCATCTGCCAGTGCAAATGAACTTTTTTTTTTTTTGTAACTTAGAATAGGGATTCTTAACATTGGGAAAAGGATCTGTGAATTTTTTAAACTTATTTTGATAAATGTATTTCAATGTAGTTGGTTTCCTCTTTAATATAATGCACTTTATTTTATCATATGCAAATATTCTGAGAAGGAAGCAATTTACTTTGTATCAGAGCCTGAGCTAAGTTATAAAGAAAGGCAAAAAACAGGGTAGTCCTTATACAAAAAAAATGGACATATAAAATGTCTTATAAAATGCCTTGAGAGTGGATTGAGAGATTAAGTGATTTTTCCTAGTCACACAGCCAGGAGATTTCAAAGGCAGAACAATCTATGATTTTCCTGACCAACTTCCTACTTCCACTCCAGCACCCATCAGCCTTCTTCTCACATTGGCAACACCTCCACCCCAAAGGCCTTTTCCTCTGATTGATGAATTCTTTCTTGAACTTCCATTTGAGGAAGCACCTAAGCTAGCTATACTCTCTTCAAACTAGGACTGAGTTCATGACTATCCAGTCTATTTCTCTCCCATCCCATACTTTCCCTGTTTAACTCATTTCTGATGTATTGCTGTCCATTGCCTTTGTGGGAGAGACTATTTATATCTGTATTCCCAGTATTCAGCACAGTGCCTAACACATAGCTAGCACTTAATAATTGCTCATCTATCTATCTATCTATCTATTTATTTCTCATGAACCCAGATCTTCCTGCTTTGAGGTCAGTTCTCTATACACTATGCTATTTCTCCCAAATCATATAATGAATTGCAGAAATAGGGCTCAAAAAGATCTTGGCAGTTAAAATCATTGGATAAACCAAATAAAACTAAATCTAATAGAACTTGATCTAAAGTCTTACACTTGGACTCAAAAAGAAGTCAACTTCAAAAGTACAGGATAGAATAGATATTACTCACTATCTCTCACCCCCTCCCTCTAAGCTGTTGCCAAGGCCTCTCAATTTCACCTATGCAACATCTCTCAAATAATTCCCCTTCTCTCCTCTAACACTACCACTCCTCTAGTGCAGGCCCTCACCACCTCACACCTGAACTATTGTAATATCCTGCAGGTGGATCTGACCCTGCATCAAATCTCTCCCGCTCCAGTCCATCCTCCATTCAGCCACTAAAGTGATTTTTCCTAAAATGCTGGTCTGATCATGTCACCCTCACTACTCAATAATAATTCCAGTGGCTTGCTATTGCCTCCAGAAGCAAATACAAAGTTCTCTGTTTGGCATTCAAAGCTCTTATCTTTCTAATCTTCATATACTTTACTCCCCAACACATACCTTCAATCTAATGATACAGGCCTCCGTCTCTTGCCTCTGGGAATTTTCTCTATTTGTTTCCCATATCTGAAACTCCCTTCCTTCTCCACTCCAACTACTGACTTCCCTGGCTTCCTTTAGGTTCCAAGTAAAATCTCACCTTTTACAGGAAGCCTTTCCTAACACTTATTAATTCCAGCATTTTCCCTCTCTTGATTATTTCCTATTTATCCTGTATGTAGCATGATTTGTATATATTTGTTTGCCTCTTGTCTCCTCCCCACCTTAGATTGAAAACTCTTTGAGGGCAGGGACTGTCTTTTGCCTCCTTTTGTATCCTCAGCACTTAGCACAATATATGGCACATAGAAGGCACTTACTAAAATTGATTGTTTGATAGAAGAGATATGGCTAGTCAATATCTTATCTGAAATAGTTTTGGAGGTTTTTATGAACTGCAAGCTCAGCAAATCAGTAGTGTGACATAGCCACTAAAATAAAATATAATATAACTTAGGCTGACTTAACAGAAATATACAGTGTCCAAAGTTTGTTTTTTTAAATTATAATCCGGCTTTATTATAATAATCATTAGCACTTTTAGATTCACAAAGTTATTTATGAATGGTATCTCACTTGATCCTCACAACAACTTGGGAAGGTAGGTGCTACTATTATCCCCATTTTACAAATAAAGAAAGTGAGACAGATACTGGCTAAATGACTTGCCCACTGTCACAAAGCTAATGTGTTTAAAGTCAGATTTGAACTCAGGTATTCCTGGTCCAGGTCCAGCACTCTATCTACTGATCCACCTAGCCACCTGTACAACTCTAATAGTAGACAGGATGATGAGGGTAATATGTTCTCCTTATTCCCACATGGCTTTGATTTCTACCTCTAGGTTTCTATACTTAGAAAGCTCTTTAGTCTGTATATTTTAAAACCTCTTTAACTACTGCATCAATCCCCATTTTTTTAATATTATACAGTGTTGTTTGGCCTTGTTTTTGATTATGATACTTTTTAACATATTACACTTTCCAGTACATTATTATTATTGTTGTTGTTGTTGTTGTTGTTGTTGTTGTTGTTGTTGTCGTTGTTGTTGCTGTTGTTATTAGTGATTGGCCCCAGGGGACAGAATTAAGACTAATGAATGGAAGTTATAGAGAAATAAATTTTGACTTGCCTGAAGCCTGATGTGAAACAGGCTGTCTTAAGCTGTGAACTCCCCATTTCTGGAGGTATTTAAGCTGAGACTGAATGAACATTTGTTGGAGATACTGTAAAAGGGAATCCTTCTCTGACTCCTTCCCATATGTTCTGCTCTTTCTAAACTAACTTTAGAGCTATAAAGGGAGTTTTAAAAGGCTTATAGCATTTTTCCCCATCTTCCCTTTCTGTTTTAAATTCATTCCTTCCCTCAGCCTTTCAAAAATTTTGCAGTTCTAGATATAGGTTATCTTGCAAACTTATGAACTAAAAAAGAGTGCTAACGTTTAAGTGACTATCTATGGATAGCAGAACTACAGTGTTATCTCTGTTAACTAAGGCAATGCTTGAACATTGCATACATGTAGGAGGAATTTATATCTACCTGGAATAGCACACATTTTCTTAGAAGTAATAACAGCAATGAAGGTTTATATGGTGCTTGAGAGTCTTCAAAGTGTTATAAATATAGAATCTTCACAACAATCTTTTGAAGTAGTATGACTTTTTATTCTCTTCCTTTTATAGATAAGTAAACTAAGGATGAATGAGGTTAAGTGATTTGCCCAGGATCATACAACTAGTACATATAAGGGACAGGATTTGAACTTAGATAATATTTATACAATTCAAGATAAAAATAAGACACATTTTAAGTAAATGAAATAAGTCCTTATTCTCCATATAGCATAATTAGAATTACTGTTGTATGTGATTCATGAATATGCAAGATAATGATTCTTAATGAATACTACCAAATGGATGTGATTTAGAAATAAAAGCAGATGATATTTAATTTACAGCACATTAAGTGACACTACAAATATACCGCCTTTCTTAGTAAATTCACATTCTTTTTTTCACCACCTGCTTAAATACAGAACCCATTTTAATGGTTTAGAACTCCATACATCACTCTCAAGCCCTTTTCATGGCATTTTAATGAGCATAGGGTGCTTCCATCACTGCATAATATGAATATGGCCCTACTGAGAAGTTGTAATCTCAGTCATAAAAATAGACAGATATTGTGAGTCTATAAAATAGAATTTCAGAGGTGACATAAACATGAAATATTGAGAGGTATTCTATCAATAAAAAATTAAAAAAAAAAGACTCATTCATACCAATGTTATTGGCCAAACCAGAACAAAATCAAAATTTCAATACAATGCAATTGGGCAGAAAGTGTTTAAATTACAAAATTAAAATATGTTAATTCACTTATTCAATTGGGGGGGTGGTGGTCAGTAATCAACTACAGGTTAAGGACAACAAGGATAATGCCTATATATGCTATTATTTAATTAACACTAAAATGGCAGTGCATCTTGCTAAACCACCTCTACATCATTGATTTGGAGTCCAAGCAGAATAAGTCTAATATCTGTTCCATACAAGGGCCCTTCAAATGACTTTAGTCAACTCTCACACCCAACCTCTTCCCCAGCCCCCAAATCTGTTGTCATATAAGCTAACCATTCCCAATTCTTTCAGGTGATAGCATAATCTTTCATCAATCTGGTTAATTTCCCCTTTCTGTTTCCCTCACTGATGATTTTGTCAGTAAGTCAATAAACATTTATTAAGTGCTTACTATGTGCCAAGCACCATGCTAAACTCTAAGGTTAAAAAGAAAGGTAAAAGACAGTATTATCACACTTTTGGTGCTGTTTTCAAAGTCATCTTCAACAACATATACAAATAAACATTGTTAGACATTACTTACACAAGAGTCACTCCATGTAATTTAGGTTATTTATCAAACCTTTAAAATCCAATTGGTTATGTATACCATATGCTGTCTACCACTGTGGGAACAATTCTGGTTGGTGGCTATGTCCAACTATTTCAGGCTGTTTTTTTTAACTGTTAATTTGTTTATTTGTTTGTTCCATATTTGTGATTTTATCAGGGTAGAGAAATCCTGGTGGGTAAACTCTATCTTGGGATACAGGTTTTCAACTCAACCATAACTAAGTCTTAAGAGATCTGTTTGAGGAATTTAGGGTTTATGTGCATGGTAGCAAAGCTAGTATGTGTCAGAAGCGGGACTTGAATCCAGCTCTTCCTGAATCTAAGTCACTCTTCTATCCACCATGCTACGTTGCTTCTCTTAGCTGTTGAAATTACTCTGATGAACCAACCATACATTAATTGACTATATACACACAATGAGCAAATCAATCTAAAAATCATTTGACTCCATAGTAGCATACAACTATGGTAAAAATGAAGACTATCTAAACAAGACAGTGAAAACATGTCATTTTGCCTAGGCCATCATCAGTTTACTAAGTTTCCACTAATTAAAATACATTTTTATGAGTTATAAAAGAAAAGTATATCTGTTAATGCTAAACTTACCAGCAAATTTGATGTGGAATTTATTTTCAGGCTTCAATATCTGGACATACAAAGGACAATTTGGAGCAAAATCTTTAACTGCCCATGCTCTCAGAATTGTTTGGTGATCCTAAAAGAACCAAAATAAATAGTAATGATGGTGATAATGTGGCTAAAAATGGAGATCTAAGGAAACAGAAAAATCAATACCAAGATGCTGACAAGTTTTGGCTGGGGTGTGGGGCAGGGGAAGGGAGGGATGGACACAGAAAGGAAAAAAGAAAGAGAAAAAAGTGTGCATTATTATAGGACTACAAAAGGCACTGAAGTGTCTGCACAGTTTTTGGTGTTTCTGTTGCTATAATCTGTACTTTTAAAGAAACAAGAATCCCATTCAACTTAGAACAGAAAATGAGGTTTCATTACCATTAGCAAATACAAAGAATTGAATTATTGAACCCAGGAAGAAATAATATGTACTGGTGCTTGGTGATTCCCTGATGAAGTGAAGAGGAACAGGTGTATATAGATGTAGAACAGACATCATTAATTACCAAGCATGCTATCTCCCTGAAGTGTGTATAAGAGATATGACAGAGAATCTGACAAGTTTCATCAAACCTACTGATTGTTGCCCACTCCTGAGAATTTAAATAGGAATGAATTATCACAGAAGAAACCTGGATTATGTGTCTAATGACTTTGAAATCTTGAAAACATTTAAGTACTTGGGGGTAGGGGAATACATGTTTTAACTTCTTTTTGATTTCTTTTAATATTTTATTTTTCCAAATTACATGGAAAAATAATTTTAACATTCATTTTTAAAAGTTTTTGAGTTCCAATTCTCTCTCCTCCTCCTCCCTCCCCCTACTGAGAAGTAAAGCAACTTATTTATTTATTGTGAGGCAATGGGGTGAAGTGACTTGCCCAAGGTCACACAGCTAGTAAGTGTCAAGTGTCTGAGGTCATATTCGAACTCAAGTCCCTGAATCCAGGGCTGATGGTCTATCCACTGAGCTATCTAACTGCCCCTCAAAGGAAAACAATTTATATAGGTTATACATGTGCAGTCATGCAAAACATATTTCCCTGTTAGTCATGTTGTGAAAGAAACACAGACCAAAAAAAAAAAACAAAAAACAAAACAAGAAAAAGTATGCTTCGATCTACATTTAGACTCCCTCGGTTCTTTCTCTGGAGATGGATAGCAGTTTTTTCATAAGTCCTTAAGGATTGTCTTGGATTACTGTATTGCTAAGAATAGTCAAGTCATTCACAATTGATCATCATATAATATTGCTATTAACTATATAAAATGTTCATCTGTTTCCACTCATTTCACTATTCATCAGCTTACACAAGTCTTTCCAGGTTTTTCTGAGAGCATCCTGCTCATAATTTCTTGTAGCACAATAGTATTCCATCACAAGCATATACAACAACTTGTTCAGTCAATTAATGGACATCCCCTCAATTTCCAATTCTTTGCTACTAATAAAGAGCTGCCCTACCTTCACTTATCTCTTTCCCCTCCTACTCTCCTATAGGATAAGAGACTTCTATGCCCAATTGAGTGAATATGTTATACCCTCTTTAAGTCAATTCCAATGAGAGTAAGGTTCACAATCCCCTCCATCTTGCTCTTCACTGTAAAAGCTTTTTCTTGCCTCTTCTGAGATAATTTATCCCATTCTATCTCTCCATTTCCCCTTCTCCCAGTGCATTCCTCTTTCTCACTTCTTATTTTTTATTTTTCTAGATAACCATCCCATCATACTCAACTCACACCTGTACCCATTTTCAATGTATGCTTCTTCTAACTGCCCTAATAATGACATTTTTAGGAATTACAAATATTATTTTCCCATGCGGGAATGTAAACAGCTTAACCTTATTGAATTCTTTATGATTTATCTTTCCTGTTTACCTTTTTATACTTCTCTTCAGTCCTGTATTTGAAAATCAAAATTTCTATTCAGCTCTGGTATTTTCATCAGGAATGCTTGAAAGTCCTCTGTTTCATTGACTGTCCATTTTTCCCCTGAAGGATTACATTCAATTTTGCTAGGTAGTTGATTCTTGTTTATAATCCCAGCTCTTTTGCCCTCCAAAATATCATATTCCTAATCCTCTGATGCTTTAATATAGAAACTGCTAAATCTTGTGTTATCCTGACGAAGACTCCACCATATTTGAATTGTTGTTTTTTTTTTCTTTTGGCCACTTGCAATATTTTCTTGTTGACCTGGGAGTTCTAGAATTTGCCTATAACATACCTGGGACTTTTCATTTTTGGATCTTTTTCAGTATGATGAGAGGACTGTTTCAATTTCTATTTTGCCCTCTGTTTCTAGAATGTCAGAGCAGTTTTCCTCGACAATTTCTTGAAAAAGGATGTCTAGGCTCTTTTTTTGATCATGACTTTCAAGTAGTCTAATAATTCTTAAATTATCTCTCTTGGATTGATTTTCCAGGTTAGTTATTTTTCCAGTGATATATTTCACATTTTTTCTATTTCTTCATTCTTTTGATTTTATTTTATTGTTTCATGATTTCTCATAAAGTCATTACTTACCACTTGCCCAATTCTAATTTTTAAGGGATGATCTTTTTCAGTGAGCATTTGCACCTTTTTTTTTTCCAATCTGGCCAGTTGTACTGTTCAAGGCATTCTTTTCTTCATCAAATGTCTGTGCCTCTTTTACTATTTGGCCTATTCTGTAAGGTATTATTTTCTTCAGTATTTTTGTTCCTCCTTTACCAAGCTATTGACTCTTTTTTCATTATTTTCCTGTATCACTCTCATTTCCCTTTCCAATTGTTCCTCTACCTCTCTTACTTGATTTTTAAAATTGTTTTTGAGCACTTCCATGACCTGAGACCAATTCATATTTTTCTCTGTGGCTTTGAATGTAGCAATTTTCACTTTGTTGCCTTCTCCTGAGTTTGTTTTGATCTTCCCTGTCACCATAGTAACTATCTACAGTTGGAATCTTTTTCTGCTGTTTGCTCATTTTTTCTTTTTTTATTAATTTATTTCCTTTTAGTTTTCAACATTCACTTCCACAAGATTTTGAGTTCCAAATTTTCTCCCCATCTTGGCCCTCCACCTTGCCCCCAAGATGGCATGCATTCTGAATACTCCTTCCTCTAATCTACACTCCCTTCCATTATTCCCCCTTCTCTGATCCCCTTCTGCTTCTATTTTCCTGTAGGGCAGGAGAGATTTCTATACCCCATTGCCTGTATATCTTATTCCCCAGTTGCATGTGAAAACAATTTTTAACATTTGTTTTTAAAACTTTGGGTTCCAAATTTTCTCCCTTCCACCCTCCCCATCCACCCTCATTGAGAAGGCAAGCAACTTGATACAGGTTATACATGTGTAGTCACACAAAACACTTCCATAGTAGTCATGTTGTGAAAAACTAACTACATTTCCCTTCACCCTATCCCACACCCCATTTATTCTATTCTCTCTTTCACCCCTGTCCCTCCTCAGAAGTGCTTGCTTCTGATTACCTCCTCCCCAAATCTGCCCTCTCCTCTATCATCCTCCCCTGCTTTCTCCCCCCCTTCCCCCCTATTTTCCTGTAAGGTAAGATAGATTTCCATATCCAGTTGAGTGTGTATGTTATTCCCTCCCTAAGCCAAATCCCATGAGAATAAGATTCACTCATTCTTCTCACCTTCTCCCACTTCCTCTCGACTGTAAAAGCCTTTTCTTGTCTATTTTATGTGAGATAATTTACCCCATTCTATCTCTCCCTTTCTCCTTCTCCCAGTATAATCCTCTCTCACCCCTTAATTTATTCTCTAGATATCACTCCTTCATCTTCAACTCACCCTGTGCCCTCTATCTATCTATCTATCTATCTATCTATCTATCTATCTATCTATCT